TTATGTAAGGGGTACTGGGTTCTCTGGGGATCCCTGGAAGGGATCCCAAAACGAAACCTTCAAAGGGGCCCCCAAAAGGATCCCAAAGAAGACACCCTTAAGAGATCCTGTTAGGCTTACGATTTGGGGATACGATCCGGCTTAGCATACGGGTTACTCAAAGGCTTCCGGTAAGTTTCCGGGCGCTGAATCTTTGTAGGAGTTCCATTCTCGCGCTCGCACAAAGCAGGCCAGGCTCCAATTTCAGGATTTATGGTGTGCTGGTTAATGGGTCAGCCTTTCGTGCTATGTAGTCGGGGCTTTGGTTTCCGGATTTTACGCTTGAAGGATTTAGGGTTTTCTGCATCGGCAGTAGGTATTTAGAAGAGATAATTATGGGCTAAAGACAAGACGGGTATTGACAACCACGCTTGAAGCGACTTTGGCGAAGGAGACTACGGCGAATGACGGGAAGAAACGATGACTGAAGCAACGATGGCTAACGACTGTGGACCTATACCCTGCACTCAACATCCGAAACCTGGACCAGGTCATTGCAGAACCCTATAAACAAACATAAATCTATACAACCCTGAAGAGATACTATATAGGGTACTAGAGCCCCTAGGGCCCTATATGGTAGGTACCTGGGGGGTTAGGGTTTGGTAGCGACCCGGAAAGCCTCAAAGCTTGATGGCAGGCTCCAGCAATGTCGACTCTTGCACATCTTGGTCCACTCTAAATCTTAGATCCGCCGTAAAGTAGAAACCGGAAGAGCCTTATGTAGACTGAGTCTAACACCTGGATTTTGGCCTCAAGGAGCTCAGGGCTTAGATATGAAGATGCGCTGATCCAGCACTTCGGCTTGAACCCACGGAGATCTATTCAGTCCACAAGCTCATGCGGATGGACAAACGAAAGCCGAAACCAACTTGCCTCCGAACCGCGTCATGAGATATTCGGCGAAACTGCTGACGACTTCCTCGGGCGGGGCTTTGTTCATGTGTCAGTGGCATTCCTTGCCGCACCATTCCGGGTCAAGGCCTTTAGAGCTCAGGGTTTCGCTATGTGCTCCTGCGTACACATATTGGAACGATGCTCTTACATGACCAGTACATACATGGATGGATCGATAGATAGATATATGGATGGATAGATCGATAGATAAACAGATAGATAGATGTGGTTGGTTGGTTGCTTGATTGATTGATGCAAACACAAACAGATAGTGAGATTAGCTACGTAGATGGATGGATGGATGGATGGATGGATGGATGGATGGATGGATGGATGGATGGATGGATGGATGGATGGATGGATGGATGGATGGATGGATGGATTGAGGAGATTGGAGTAGATAGGGGTAGATTAGATTTAGCAGATAGATAGACATGCAAATAAATAGTTAGTAGATGTTCGACAGATAGGTAAATAGTCGAACAGAACTTGTAAAACAACGTTGACACTTGTGCAGCAAGCTGTGTGTCCTGGTGCATCACCGAGCTTGTTAATGTGTTGAGCAGGCTGCAATGGTCCTTAACACCGCCCGAAACCCTAAACCCTAAACCCTATTTCCGACCACTCGGGGCAAGTCAAACCAACCTCCCAAAGCTCCAAAGCTCCCACACACTAAACATCACTAAACTCTTCAGGCCCACCATGACATAAGTTAAAGGACCAAGTCCAGGTGTTGCTTAGAGAAGTGAACGGCCTCGTTCACAAGATCTGGCTTCTGGAGCTGCCTCCAGATAAGGAGGCTGGGTCGACCAGTTTGGGATTGGTGTTTTAAAAGGTGAAAAAGATGGAGAGAGTTTACATTGGTTGAACCTCTCAGGGCTCCCACAAGGCGGAGATAGAAGGGCGCCTAAACCCTAACCCTATAAGGGCTCGAGCTTGCAAAGAGTTTCTCACGTTCTAGAGGAAGGTTCAGAGTTTCGGCGCTCACACTCGGACACTCCAGGCGAGGCATATGGTTCGAGGTCTGCGATGAAGTGGAACACTCATCGAGAAAAAGACCCTGGCAACACAAGAACTACCAAGTAGAACCTCTAAGGCGAGGGTCTTCGTCTGGGGTTTAGAATTTAGGCTTTGGGGCTTCAGGACCTTTGCAAAGTGGTTGATCTTTTTTGCTCTCTTGATATTGCTGCCCGGGGCTGCGGGTGGAAGGTGTGAGATCGGGCGCCGCGCATCTAGTTTGCATGCTCAGCTGCACTCTCTATTCCCCAGGCTGTTCTTTTCATCGTCATCATCATCATCATCATTGTCATCATGATCAAAAACATTGCAGAATAAGACATCAGACTACATCAGTATGGGTGACGCCGCAACTTCAGTTGTCTGACCTGACTAATTACCAGCCAAGACGCAGCGTCCAGGCTGGCATTGGGGCACCCTCCACCCCCGCCCCAAATCCGGTTCCACAGTTTAGACCGCAACGTTCTCCCAGCGACTGGGGCCGACACGATGCCGCGGCTTCATCATGCACGATGCCATGCCTGGGTTCCGAAAGCTGTCGTTGCCGTTGCGGCTGCCGCTTCTGTTTCACTAGTCATTAGTGTCGCCGCGAGTGCATAATTGTCATGCCGGCGTCTTCCCAGTGTCAGCGTTATCTCCGATGGCAGCCGACGATGTTCCGTACATGCGTAAATGCACCTGGGCGTGCGTAGCTGCACAGTCCTTCAATATGGGGCTTTCCACTAGAAGCACAACGACTAATACTGCCGCCAATGCTGCAGCTTCTACGATTACGACGACAACATGCCAAGACTACTGGGCGCCACCCCGAATGCGATGACCCCTCATAAGCATTCCTAAGCCCAGCCCAACATTGATCCACACGCCGTCTTTTCTCCGCAGCCGTGCCGAATTTGGCTGGCTCCCAAGACATTCGCCTTGGTGCGGCTCACCTGGGCTCTTCAATCGTTCAACTCCCGCTGTTTTAGAGCTAAGCAATGTGGCGATGTCATGACCCTGAAGATGGATGACACGTAGTTCTGCTACATTCCGGCACATCTATGTAAAACCTAGTGGCCTAGTGTGACGACTGCGGAAACCGCTACAAACCGTTGTCTTGGCTCTGCCAACGACGACGGCAACAATCAAACGGGAGAGTAACATACTGATGACGTATGCAGCAATTGCCATCCTGCTCCTGGCTGTTTCTGGATCATACTCCTTCTCCAACCTCTGCGACTGCGACTGGGGACTACGACTGCGACTACGAATACGGCTGCGACTACCACGGCTACTACGACTGCTGTCACGACTGCAACGACTACCACAGGACTAAAACGATCACTACTGCTGCTATGACAACTACTGTAACGGCGACAACCGCTACGACAACGACGACGAATACTACTACTATGCATCACGAGAACGAATAGAACAACACTAACAACAACAACCAGTAAGCAATGATTCAGCAATGATACAAGTAAGGCTAACGTAGTATTATACCACAGGTTAACCAAACAGCAGCAGTAGCAGCAGCAGCGACGGTGGTGGTAGTAGTA